GGGGGGGGTGGGGGCTTGTCTGTTTCTGTCCCCCAAACGCCACCCCTTCTCACCATCACTCCACCCTCTCCCTCCATGGCATCCTGTCCCCCAAGGGACGTAGCTTCTGGGATTACTGGGGAGGGATGCAGCAGCAGTGGAAGCCCACTGCCATGGGGAGGCTTGACCGTTTCTGCTGCGCTACACCATGGGGGGAGGAGAGGGCAGGGATTAAAAAAAGGGCAACACACCCACCCACCTCCAACTGGCTAGGACTTCTGTGCCAGATTATGCAACTGTTCTGGCTGGGGGATAGCCTGCGGGCTGGGAGTTTGAGATCCTTGATCTAGATTCCTTAATTGCCATACTGGATCAAAGCTGTGGTCCATTGAGGGCAGTGTCCTGCCATGGACACTGGCTGGTTTCAGATGCTTCAGTGGAAGAATACCTGCAGTATGTGATATTAAAATAATCTGTCCCATGGGGAAATTTCTTTTTAAATCCTATCAAGTAAAATTGATTTATAGTTTGAAACTTGAGGATTTAAAGTACTTCGAAGCATCTGCGTGTTTTCTTTTTAACTCTTATTATTGTTACTTGAAAATAACCTTTAATCCAGGAAAGAATGACAACCTTTCTAGAATATATTCTTTCTTCCATGCAATTCACCATTTTCCATTCTTAATCCCTGCCTTTTCCACAGGGGGTTATCCTTCTACCGGTTGAACCTCTGTAGTCCAGGACTGTCTATTCCGGCAACATCCGTGGTTCCCAGTGGCTAGGAACAGAGCCCACCAGTGGGGGCAGCGGAGACTATGGGGCCGGGAAGCTGGAGGGGGGGGGGCAGAGCTCACGCGACAGCAAAGCCCACAGCCAGCTGGGCTGCTGGGAGCTCTGCAGGGGTAGGTAGCAAAGCTGCCACGAGGCTGGCGATGGAGGTGCTGCGAGGCCTGTGGTGGAGCTGCCACGAGGCCAGCAGGGCCGTCAGGAGCTCTAACAGGGCTGCTGTACCTCACAAAGCCAGGAGGCTGGGGAGAGGAGCCCAATGGGGAAATCTTTTCTGGTCCAGCAAACTCCCTTGTCCAAGACTGGTCAGGTCCTGAAGATGCCGGACCAGCGTGGTCCAGCCTATGTTAATGTGTCCCATAGAAATGCACTGGTTAGAGTCAATGTTTCTTCCCACAAAACATGTTCTTTTGGATTTTTCCTCCTATGTCTATGGAGTGCAAAATTGGTGCTTTGCAATCCAAGATCTTTCTACTGCTGTTGTGGCTTGATAACTGAGCTTGACTTATGGTTTGAGAAGTTAAAATGCCACCTCTCGAAGTTTGACTGGCTTTGCAAGTAAAACTTCCAATACACTGAAGTTTTGGCATGGTTTTCAGAATACTGTATGATTTCAATCATTTCATTCAGCAGCCTTCCACTCTCATAGAAAAGAGCAAAGCCTTTCAGTTAGTGGTCTGCTGCTTTATTTTTTAAAAAATCCCTTTTTACATTTTAAAAGCCAAATCCTGCTGTACTTACTCAAGGACCAGTTACGCTCTGTTCCATCCACATAGGTACACTGAAGTAAATGCATTGACTGCTGCATCACTCCCCATATAACAGAGCTGAATTTTACCCTCAAACCTTTGTCAGACAAAATTCTCAATGAAGTCAGTAGCAGTTTTGTTTGAGTTGGCCCAGAAATGTAATGTAATAGGGGCATGGATCTTCACATTCTAACCTTGCCTGCAAACCCCACTACTTTTTTCAATCCTAGATACAGATTATGGATTATTCCTAACTGTACCAAACAGAATGTTTCCATTATTTTACTGGTAAATGTTGTATGGCTGTTAGAAAGGAGAATGCAAGAATACCACTGAGAGTCGGCTGCGCCTGACCTTGATTGTTTGTAAGACTTGACTCAGGCTGTCAGGCCCCAGGAGGAAGAAGAAAATGTGTTACAGTCCCAGATTATGATTTTGTGGGAAAGTCCTATTTCTGGTCTCAGCAGATACTCTGGGGTCTATTTTTCCATTAAGATTTACACTGTTTGTTTGGGTAACTCCCCTTAATTGGCAATAACAGTGAAGCATGTAAATCCCCAGGGCACTGGTCAAAAATAGACCATTTGATTTAATTTAAAAATAAACTTCTGTATGTTTATGTTTATGTTTATGCAGTATACAATTTAATAAATTATTGTCTCTTCCATCATCAAGTACTTCCTGAGCTACATTTAAGAGACTCAGGTACTGATTTTGGCTTGAGTATTTTAACACCAAATGGTGATGAGTGATTGTTGTTAAATTAAAACAAAATCTAGGAATCTGCCGCTTATCCTCTATTTCCAATGGATGGTCCAAAGGTCTGAAATACTCACACACTTGTCATGGTGCTTCTTGAAATTCAAAGGAACACAAATAGAATTTTTAAATAGTTAAAATCCTTCGGGTCACAACTCTTTCAGTTATATGCACAGTAAAGCAAGGAAGCAACATTAGTCTGCTGTAAGAGGAGAGATCCGTAGAAAGTTTGTGTTCCTCTTAATTTAGTTAAAACATTTGGCAGGGGTGTATGTGGCTTAGTGATGTGAAGATATTTTCAAATGAGTGTTAGCATTTAACCGACCCATGTTGTGCTAGTAGTGTTCTCTTGTATGTTACTTTTTGTCATTGAATAATGCTGATTTATTAAGCTGTGTGCTTCAAGGGCATTGTAAAATAACATGTAGGGGCAGGACTGAACTGTGAAAGCGAGAATTACTGTATCAGATCATGTCCAATTAAAATATGACAAGCACAGCAGGAGAAATTGGAAGAAGAGTTTATCTTTCATGAAAGAGAAGAAGTCATTATATCAGTTAGAAACAAAGTACGTGTGAAACAGATTTTCCACCCTTTCTCTCCCTCTCAGAAAAATTAATATCTGTTGACATTTATATCAGGAAGAAGTTGAAATCTCATGTTCAAGGGCATTATGGCAGTGGCAACTGAACGAAGAGCACTGCAGCCATACATACTAAAGCTATTCTTTCTCAAAGTATGTGTCAAACCAAAAGTTAAAACATTTGTAACAGACAAATAAAATAGTTTGAAAATTAGATTTTCTTTTAGCTAAAATTATACTATATGATTAAAGGAAGGCTTATAGTCTTTCTAGGTCTCTTGGGCTTCCCAGATAAATCTTTTAGGGAAAACTGGAATAAAAAGTATTTAAAAAAAATCAGATTCTGTACTTTTATAAGATTTGAAGTATAGTTTTTCCTATTATGAGTTTTGATATAAAATTCTCTTTGGTATGAGGTAGAGAAACTGTGCATTGACTTCCACTACCTCTACAATCCTTTATATAACCTATTTGTATAACATTCACTAGCACTTTGCTTACAGAAATGCAGAATTGTAAATATAAATAGATGCAGTTTTTTTTATGCATAGCTGTCCTTGATCCTTCTGGGTCATAGCATGTGGTTGTGTTGAATAGCGCCTCTTGAAGGTCAATTTGAGGCTTTTCAAGACTATCATCTGTAGAAACAATCATATCCGAGTGGCTGAGCAAAGTGAGGCCTTCACTCAACTTTATGGAATTTTTCTGTATGTTTGGATGTAACCTGATAATTTTTAACAAGACATCTGATCAATTCCCCAAATTTAGGGAATCTTCTAGGCATCACTGTGAGCAGAACTCAACTGATGTAGGGAGAAATTGAAAAAAACTCTAAGAAATAAAAAATTGGAGGGGGGGACAGCTTCGGACACGAGTTTGTCACACCCATCATCTGTAACTGTCTGCAAATTACAGAACTTGTTGATGGCAGCTGCTAGACGTTCCAGCCAAACACCTACCCCACCTCTTTCAACTCTGTTCATCCTTCCAATGGAACTTAAAATGTTTCCCCTCACCTCACCTCCCTAATGACTTTTCTGTGAGACAGAAAAAAATTAATAGATTACAAATCGTTGGGTAGATGAAGGCGGCATGCAAGGGACCCTTTGTGTGTGGAATGAGTTCAGTCTACAGAAGCAACAAAGTTTACAGCCCCGTAGCTTATTTGGAAGAATAGTCTATCAAAAGCTAGTATAGTTTCCATTATCAGTTTAAGAAATTCAGTATTCCCATGTGATGTAGAGACAGTAACTTTGGTTAGAGACAATAATGAAGAACTCTTTCCAACAACATGGAAATGTTGACCCATTGAATGCTTCTGTCCTTCAAGAAAGGATTTATATCTTTTTTGCATCTTATCCAGGCATGTGGATAGTCAAAAAAAAGACATGTTTAGTGCAATGTGCATTATAAGGTTGAATAATATCCATTGGAATGAAGTCTAATAATATTCCTTCTTTCATGTGGAATGAATGACATAGAGCAACCTCTTGAGATATGAAGTTACTATGAGATCCTCACACATATCGACTAATGTCCAAGTCCCACTTATTACTAGATCTTAGAACATTGCCTGGATTGGGGGAACAATCTCAAGAAAAGAGCGTTTAAATTCAGTTAAAATTGGTAGCTTGGGAAAGCTTCAGTCTTGTCCTATATGTTTCATTAAGGTTGGGGTTTTTTTTTTTTTTTAAGGAATCTTGAGCATGGACTGGCACAATAGCTGAACCCATCTGGCAGGCTTCTGTCATAATGGCAGAATCTAGCTCAGTTGCTTGTGTGATGAGAAAAATCTACTCATGTTTTTTTCTTCTCTTTACCACCTGCATTACATAGCTGAGAGCAGAATTTAGCAATAATAATAATTTAAACACATTAATTTAATATGTGCTTTTGATTTTAAAGGTAGGGAAAACATTCAGATCCTAATTTTTATATAAAAATACTAGTAGAATTCACCTTCAAACTGATACATATATAATAGTGTGTGTAAGATGGAATGAAAAAAACCTAAAAAATTGAGGGACATTTTTTCACTAATCTATGTAGTACCTCTTCATCTTGATTCCTGAGTAAATAATAAGAGTAGATAAATTACATTTAAACTACTGCAACACTCTCTAACTTTGACTTTTATCTTGCAGAGACAAACGTGAAGGAAAATGCTATGAAATTCATGGAGATGCTGGAGAATAAGCTGCATAGGTAATGATGGCATGGTGGAAACATTTAAAAGAATTAAATGTTTCTTTATAAATGTAAATGTGGTTTTAGCATGTTGGAGAACTCTTCAAAACACATTTAAAAAAAAAACAGCAAAACACAGAATTTAGAAAGTAAAGTTTCAAAGGGGATTTTTTGTTATTAATCTTTCTTTCCAGCATCCTGAAAAGTGCAACAAAATCTTATTTAAAAAAAAAAATACAAAGACATGGAAGTCGCATAAGTTTCTATATTGTGGATCATGCTGCATCTGCTTTGCACTACTCTGCTAGTGGAAAGTGATCATGTAAACATTGTTGACTCATAGCCAGTTAGCTGATTCCCCTGGTATGAGAGTATTCTTTAGGGGTATAGATTAGTCATATACCCAAGTCAGCTGATCACTGACATAGAGGGTGTGATATGGCAGGAAAGGGACATGGTCAGGATAGCACTGCATCCACCTTAGTGCAAGCTGTCCGTATGACCATGAGACAGCTCTATTTTAAGTTGCAGACTAGTCTAGCAACCTTGAGTTGTGGGGAGCACAACATTGATTTAAAACCACCTGCCCCTCTGGCACTTGTACTCAAAAGTACTAGTTGGGCCAGATAACTTTTCCCATGAACTCTGTGCTCTCATGTATTAAGTATTGATCCACTTAATTTTGAATGGTTCTGAAAAATATAATGAAATTTTTCTTTCCTCTCTCCCCCCCCCCCCCACAAATTAATAGAAACTAAGACAACAATATAGCTGTTTTAAGTATAACCCTACTCCAAATACATATTTAAACTACCACAAGGATTAATATTTAATCTTCTTGCTACATGAAGAACTCTTGTGCCTCCCTCAAGGGTTGCCTTGCCTTTCTCAAGCTTATTACCAGGTATGATGTTGCTGTTGTAATGGAACCATCTGTTAGAATGGACTATGTTTTAAAGAATTATTTACATTCTTTTAAAAGTCTGGCTACATTCCATTGTTGATGTGTATAAAAATCTTCTTTGTTCTGCTGGACTGGAATTGAGAATACTACCCATGCAATATTTACCATATTGGCAGAGGGAAGACTCCAGGATTTTAGACCTGTTCATATGTACTTCTGAATACTAAATATTGATTATGTTAAAGCAGTAAATTTAGCAGTAAATCAAAATCATAGTGCAAAATCTTGTTTGTTTAAATTTTCATCAAGAATACAGCTTCTGAAAGAATATGGTATAGCATGGCTTAGTATAGTGTTAGCGTTTCATGGATTTATATCACTACAACAGAGCCTCCAACAAAGAGAATCATTTTCCCTTTAATAGTTAACCAGAGGGAAAATCCGTAGAGAAATGTCATTTTCATTTTCTTCAGTGGGAGGTTTTACGGTTGTGGACAGCATTGCTGCTAGCTTTGTAGTTAAATGTTGAATTGCTTTAAAAAAATTAAATATTGCATTTGAGTTCTCATGCCAACCCAAAACTTTTTTCTGAATTACTGTTCTTCTAATACTAGGGGGTTTTATGTGTTTTGTACACTCTGAGCTGTTTAATGGGTTTTGAAAGAGTATGTGTCATGCGTCTGCCCCCTACCCCTCTCTCTCATTTCTGAGACTGAAATTTGTGCTGGATTTAGCGATGCCATCATGCTGGTATTCATCCTGTTTTGTTGAAGTGTGTCATTTCTGAGAAAATATTGAAAGTTAAACCCTCCTGTGGCACTATGCTATATATTGAAAGCCCATGCTGTCAAGTTATTTCTTTATCAACAAGGGGCGAACATTTCAAACTAGTTCTAACAGACTTCAGCAATATAGTGAGTGGTAATGCAATATGTTTAAATTGCATTGATAGGTTGCATTCCTTAGTACTGTATAGAGTTTCCTATGTCTGATCCAATCTGGATTTTTTTTACTGAAACTACATTATAGGTCTTCATGTTTTATTACTTAGAGGTTTCTGTCATCATTAGGGTTGCCAGGTGTCCAGTTTTGAACCGGACAGTCCAGTATTTGAGCTTTCTGTTTGGGAAACAAATTGAGAACATATAAATGTCTGGTATTTTCTAAATAAAATGTAATGTAGATTGTGATGTAATGTCAAGTGTGTCCAGTATTTTTGTTGGAAACCATCTGGCAACCCCTAGTCATCAGGTTTACTGAGAACTAAATACAGTAAAACTCCATAGGTCCGCGTCCAATGCTCTGGCACTTCTGATGGTCCGGCACCATTGGGAACCCAGAAGTGCTTGGGGCAGCTGGACAATTGGAGCTGCCCTGCACCCGGCTTCCCCGATTCAGCCACTGCTGAAACTGACCAGCAGCTGACTTGGGGACGCCTGGGGCAGAGCAGCTGGAGTGCTGCGGGGCGGCACTACGGGACCAACCCGGCAGCACCCCAGCTGCTCTGCCCCAGGCGCCCCGATTCAGCCGCTCCTGAAACTGACCAGCGGCTGATTCTGGGAAGCCCGGGGCAGAGCACCTCTGCCTCGGGCTTCCTGTAGTCCGCGCTGGTCAGTTTCAGCAGAAGCTGACTTCGGGACACCTGGGGCAGAGCAGCTGGGGTGCTGCTGGGTTGCTCCAGTAGCACCCCTCGGCGCTACTGGACCAACCCAGCAGCACCCCAGCTGCTCTGCCCCAGGCGGTCTGATTCAGCCACTG